GAAAGCTTCCTTTACCAATCACCCTGAATATATTATATTTGAAATCATAAATAATCAAAGATTAAATCATACCTTCATCAACGTTAACATTAAATAGAGGGGGATTATCAAGAATTGAAAAACTTCTAAAATTTTTTTTCAGACTTAATCTATTGTTTTTTTCATGGATTTCATTACATGAGATTTCCTCGCTGCTTGAATTCAGTTTTTTATGTCTGATTTTTCTGGATTCCTTATCATCATTAGCAGAGGATAGTTCGGATGTTTCTTCAGCACGTTTAGCCTTTCTTCTGGCTTCAGACAAAGTATCTAAATAATAATTTTTTTTAATAAATAGTAATAATATTAACAGAATAATGTATTGTACTAACCAATATTTTTTGATAATATTCTTGCTTTGAAGAAATCAAATTCCAGATTGTTTGGATTATAACGACGTTCTATCATCTTTGTGTGGTTTTTTACAGTTCTGTTTGGCCAAGCACATACATTATTTTTATACCAAAAATTTGGTACACACTCCACTGTGTTATCATCGTCAAAACTCACTACTATCCACATTTTGCAAAATCTATAAATGTAATGTTTATGGAGTATGATACATAATTAAAAATGAGCTTATAATTTATAAAATCTAAAGAATAATAACTTACATAGGTAAATATCTTTTATATTATTATTTAATATTTACAAATAAATCATTTTTTATTAATTTACATATTATATACAATCATTAAATACTTTATTTACAATTAACAATTATGTGAATGTAGTATAGGCACAGATATTTTTTGATCATTCAATTTTAAAAGCATAATTTTTCTTTTAATTTCATCTAAATTAATTAATGTTAATTCATCTGACAAATTATCAACTTCATAAATATTAAAAATACTTGAATTAATAGGTGTTTCATAAAAAGGTTTTTTAGTAGAAAAAACATTTCCCAATATGACTATTTTGTCCATATCATTAACATTTACTATGTTTTTTATTTGATAAATATTTTCGTTTTTACACAACACATAACAGTCTGCAATATTATTGGTTTTTATTGTAAAATTGTCCAAGTATAAAGTTTTGTACTGAGATCCTGTTAAGTCTTCTAATAGTGGCCCTTCTGAATGTTGATTTTTACATATGGGAACATAAGTTTTGTTTTTATTATTATCATCTATATTACAATCTATTTTTTCATGGTGACGTTTAATTACTTGCTGAAGTGGCAACTCATGTTTTCTAACCATTTTCTTTAACGTCTTCATATAATTTTCGAACGGGAAAGCGCTTATATTGTCAAGAGGGCCAAAATGCTTAAAGTCATCAACTATATGTGTTAGAGCATGGACATTATGGGATACAAAGTGCTTACCATATAGCAATTCAAAGTTGACAACAAAATAATTTAGGAGTTCCTGAGCATAGTCTACGTAGTTAGTGAAGTCATTACTCAATAGTATTCTCATAGCAATGCTTAACGTCATAAAATGTTTATAGCAGTCTTCACTTAAATAGTTTTTAAAACATATTTGACCGGTATAAATTAATAACTGTCGTAGCTCAGTAGCTTTGAATCTGCATAGTTCATTTAAACCCCTGGGTTTTCGTGCAAACTCACAAGGTATGAATGGTTTTAATGATAACAGAAATGCAGATAATTCTTTACAAACCAAACTTGGCATTCGTACACTTAAAGGTCCCTTATCGATCCATAAACCAATCAACTTCTTCATAACCCCCAGACACGTCAAATGCATGTAATCCAATGCAAAATGTGTGACAATATTAATATTTGGTAGATTACACAAATTTGAAATGGACCTGCCAACATGATGCTCATCGTGTTTTCTTGTAATGTAATCATTGTGTGTTCGTTTGATTAAACTGGCAGATGTTAATGGAAAACAAGTTCGGCTTTGGAGATATTCCCCTTCTTCTGTACAACGTGTACAGGAGTCAAATCCTGTATGACCTTTTATTTTTAATACAAAAGATTTAGCAGGTGCATCAAGACAAAAACCATCTATTTGAACTTTAATTATAGTTGAATTTATATTAATTCCATTTAACAGCAATTCTCTAGCTTCTAAGATAAATTGTTCAAGATAATCATTTGAGCATTTTGGTTTTTCATGGCCCCAATAAATCCCAATAGGAAAGACATTATTTAAAGGACGTATATAGCCCAGAATTGGCCAAAGTTGACTTGAGCTGCTTTTTGAAATAGGCAGACCATCAATGCCAACAACTATTTTTACCAATTCTACATCATTTATTGATGTTAAATTAAAATGTCTTCTAATAGCCAAACTCAAACCAAAATGGTAGTAAACACCAGGATCAACCACAGTTAAGTTAGAAGTTTCATTTATCTTTCTAGTTCTTAATACACTCCGCGAATCCTTAGGAAGTTCAGATAAACCTGGTACTTTTTTTAGTAATATCAATAATTCGTTTAAAGCATTACGCGGGATGTTGAAGTTGATTGCCCAACCTGCCAATTCATGTTTTAGTGTTTCAATTAAGCTTGATATATTGTTAGAATTTAAAGGAGAATTAGGTGTAAAATCTAATGACAATGCTGGACATTCATCTACAGCCTATTAAAAGAAACGAAAAATAATATTATTTCTTAGATGCCTACCTAAATATTAAGTTATAGCACAAACAATTTTTAATTTTACCTGTTTTTAGAATAATTTAGTTCAAAATATTAGATAGGTAGGTAATGATTAAGGCTTAGATTTTAATGTACATATACTAGTAATTGTCTAGTATACTACTAAGATATGTATTTATACAACCAAAAAATGTACACAAATATGTGATAAAAACTCAAAATATATTGTTTAGTAATACAATATATCCATCAAAGTTGTTGGCTGATGAGTTATGGGTAAATTTACTTACATTGAAAAATTCTATTAGAAACTGGTAGATTTCAGTAGGCATCTTCGAAAATTAAAAAAA